AGAGAAAATTAACCAAATTTAATACATACGGGAACCCCACATACATGACAGAGTCACAGACCACAAATCCATGAGAGGTTCAGAGACAGAAAGGGGGGATCTAGGTATATATAAGACATTCTGAGCTAGAAATGAAATAATTGGGAGCTTCAAAGTGTCATTGCAGATGATGTGAAAAACATATTTAGAAAATAAAAGTTTGGTTGTCAAAAAGGCTATCACTGATAATCTCATCCTGGGCAAGACCCCTGATTCAAGTTATCCTAGATAGTTAAGGGAGGGGCAGAAGTTTCTCTTCAGCCCAAGGCTGAAGTTGCCTTTAGCTTTAAACAGTCTGCCTAACACAGCCTCGCACTGTGGGGTGACTTGCTCTGAACCCCCACATATATCAAGTGCCCAATACAGGATCCAATCCATAGTAGATGCTCAAAAACTATAGTCCAGGCCTTGCTCCAGGATGCAAATGGTGACGGATGCAAATGGTGATGGATGCAAATGGTGATGGATGTGAGAGGGACCTGAATTTCACTGGGCTTCTAGCTCCTATCTAAGGAAAAAAGGAACTATGTAGGTCAAGGATTGTGGTTCTAAGATGTTTATTTAAGATTCTGAAGCGCTTTAAACATCTTGTGTCACTTTTGTTATTTCCTGAGTCTGCTTTTTAAGGGGAAAATCCCCTTCAGATGAAAGAGAGTTTTATTTGGAACCACCTAATGTAAAAGAAAAATTGTTTCAAATTTAGTCTTGGGTAGAAACTTTTTGCCTAATACAAGTGTTCCTGATAAAAATGTAAGTGCTTTTTGGACAAACTTGATATTTTAGAGAAACTAGCTCCCCTCCCACCAAGCTGTTGTTCAAGAATCTAGTAACATTTAAATGGGATTACTCTTCTTTTTGCATCTAAATACTTTTTTAATGTAAATGTCTCTGCTGAGAAAAATCTTTGAATTCACTTGCCAGAAATCTTTGCTTTTGCAGCAAGGTTGTAATAAATTTTAACATGTACCCATAACTAAATTGTCAGAATAGATCTTGCTTGTTTTCAACCAAGGAAGAAGAGGTTATAATCCTACTGAGCCAGTGTTGTGAGAAGAGCCCCAAGGAACACAGTGGGTGGTGGTGGTTTCTAGAAGGAAGAAAAGCAAAGCATCCCCATTTCTGTGGGAAGGAGGAAAGCAGAGCTCTGGAGGGCTATTGTATTCTGAGGCTGACTAATGGACCTAAAGGTTGAATAATCAAAGTCTTCCTAGAGCTTCAGACACTGTTTCCTCAGCCATTGGATGGGAATGACAGTATTTGCTTCACAAACCTCTCTGTTGTGAGGCCTAATGAACAAACCATGGGCTTTTGCAGGGCTCCAGTACAGAGAGGGTGTCAGGAGCTACATCATTTGAAGATTCAACACAAAGAATTGTTAAAAGTAAATTTAAAGATCAAAAATAGCATTATTCAATGATTCATGAATCAGGCTGTATTCCATATGGCAAAGAGAAAGGAGGTCACTGGGCTGCAGAAAAAGGAAGGTTTTTTGCCCTTAAAGATTTTATTTTTATTTATTTTTAAAAGATTTTATTTTTAGAGAGAGGGGAAGGGAGGGAGAGAGGTAGGGGAACACTGATGTGCAAGAGAAACATTGATTGGTTCCCTCTTATGCACCCCAGACAGGTACCTGGCCCACGAACCAGACATGGGCCCTGATGGAGAATTGAACTAGCAACCCTCCAGTTTGCCTGACAATGCCAACTGAGTCACATCTGCCAGAGCAAGGAAAGGTTTCTACAGACGGAAAGGTGGTGGGAAAAGGAAACTTCCAGCAAAGAACATTACCAGTCCAAAGTCTGTGTGCCTGATGCTCTGAAATGCCAAAACTCAAAATGTCAGAATTTGGAATAGGAAAGATTTATTGATCGAGAAGTTGCCATTAGAGAAGACTTCTGACCCTCAAATCCATTTTAAGAAACTACAGAGTTCAGTCTTCTTTTATGTCAAGGGAAAAGAAAATGGGAGGGGCTATATTTGTTAAAAAAAACTCAAGCCCTAAGCAGAATTCCCCTAGTGATTAGCAGGTCTAAAGCAGGAATTATTAGCCTGAAGGCCTTGGGAACAATGCATGTTCGAATAAGTTGGAGTCAGAGAGATGGAGTTCACTGTTACAAAAATGGATAGTTTCAGGCTTAAATTACCCTCCTTTGAGGGACCAAAGGGGTCTTTAAGGGTTATTTCACTAGTGCTGACCAGGAAATTCCAAACTAACCAGCTGAGATTACATCCTTGGGAGCAGCTTCAATTGCAATTAGGTTAGGTATTAAGTCTTGGCTTGCTGACATGGGGCTTAGCACTAGTGACTCAGTTTTGGGTCTGTTGCTGCTTTTTGAACAGAATTAATGAAGTAACACATTTGGTTTTGTTTGTGTGTTTTGGCCAATCAGCTTATCAGTTTACTTTTCAGAAAACAACATTATGGAATGATTTAAGAGATACCATCTAATTTGATTTTAGCTATCCTCCACTTCCTACCTCATCTCCAATTTCATTTTTTACAAAGGGATGCTGGTACAATGTGGGTACCAAAAAGTCAATTTACTTTAGATTTAGATTCTTAATTTCAACAACAGGAAATGTAGTGGAGGGAAAATGTACCCCTGCCCATTTGAGTTCTTGGCTGGAGAGAAAAAACAAGCAGAAGTTTATTAACATATATATCACATGTACACATGAAGATACCCAGGGAAGGAAACTGAGTAACTACCTGAGATGGCCTAAACCACCACCTTAAATACAGTACTATCTTTGGCTAAAGACAAAAAACAAACAAAAAACAAAAAACAAACAACAAACCAAGATGGAGATGGGGACAGGCCAGTTATGGGAGGTTATAGGAAAAGTGGGTAAGGAAGGGTAGTTTGTTATACAGATTTGTCAGTGCCTTCTCCATTAAGATTCTCTTGTGATTTAGAGTCAACTTTCTCTTCCAGGTACATAGAGGGAAACAAGACAAATAGAGATTTCCTTTACACATGTAAAATTTCCCTTACAAAAAAGTAACTTCTGTTTTTAGAAAATTTTCTGTGCCTGCTGTTTCTCAAAATAACCCTTATACCAAAGATGCACATTTTGAGGTGGCAAATTCTGCTACTCTTCAAAAACAACATTTTCTATCTTTGTACAACATAATAAAACGTGTCCAACCTGACTAACCCTCTTGTCAATGTAAGAAACATCCCAAACTTTAAGAATTTTTATGAGTTTATTTGAGCCAAACTGACAATTACTGGGAAGAAAACCTCAAGGGCTTGAGCAAAAACTCCAGAGAGCAGCAGTTATGCACCTTATTTTATACATCACAATAAAAGGAGGAGCATTGTGCGTAATGCACTCCCATGTTTTTGGCCCAAACTTTCAGGAAAAAAACTTTTGTTTTAATTTTTTAATTCCATGTTTTATTTATCTTTAGAAACAAAACCGATTATTGTATTCCAGGGTAGTATTTTTGCATACAGATAATATTAATGCTTTCTAGAGTTACACTTTTAATGCATAAGCATAAAGAATAGAATTAAAAATATTTATACAGATATGGAATTAGTACTACCCATGTGTAATGCACATCCTTTTTTCCTCTAAAAAATTTGGGCAAAAAGTGCGCATTAATACGGCAAAATATGGTACGTGAAATTCATTGGTGATAGATTAGAGAGGTGGGAGAAAGCAGAGAAATCTCGGACTGGATAAAAAGTAAATCTGATGGACACACTTTACATTTGTGGGTGTAGGATGGTTAACAGTCAACAATTAACACATAACAATAAAAATAACAATGAGGGGATCTGTGGTCTCTGGTCCTTATGCTTTGAGGAGGTGGGGGCGGGGAAGGAAATTATCTTGATATTCCAAAAGTATATTAGTTGCAAAACGATGACAGTCTTAGTTAAGGTGAAGATTGACCTTTGTTAGGGAAAAACACAGCCCTAGGACAAGATTACCCTCCATGGATCACTTTTAGTTTGGAATATTATGTTCAGACCATCCCCTGTGGTTTTTCGGTCTCGGAGATCGTAAGGCCGCCAGGCAGGCCATCCCGGAGCTTGTCAGGTTCAGTACGTGGCCCCCTTTTTTCTCCTCCACAGGCTTCATCCCACACGGAATTCTTTCCTTGCTCTTCATCCTCCCCACATGCCAATCCCTCCCTCTTGTCCTAAATCTCTGCTCCTCTTTTAGGCCTTCAGAACCCAGTCCTCTTTGTCTCTATCCCATTCCTTCCACGATGAACCATGAGGTGTGTCCTTTGAGGTTAAGCCTTTCATATTTGGATGCATTCCCACAAATTCGATATAATTTCTTTTTAATCCTCAACAATATTTAAGAGTATCTGGCGCCTCAGCACATTATCTGAAAATAAACTGTTACAAAAATCCTTCCCAGTTTCCTTATCGCTGGAATTCCCTACTTCACTGTCACCACTTCTAACCAGCTACACTGGATCTAAAAACAAAGCAATTTCAGGGCAGTGCGCGGGTATCGGGCTGCGGGGAACTTTGCAGCCGGAGCCCCAGGCCCGCCTCTGACCTCCGGAGGTCGGGGTCCGGGACCACAGCCGCAGCGGGTACGGCCGGTCCCGATTCTGGCCACGCGGTTCCTCGCTAAAATCCGCCAGCGCCGGGAGTCCCCGGATGGGCCCGGCGGAAGACAGGCCTCCGGGGAGCCGAGGCCACAGGAAGACGAGGGCGCCACTCTCTCCTCCACGCACTGGAAAGGGCTTTTGGGCCCGGCGGCAGCAGCCGAGGGCCTGACGGCTGCCAAGATGCGACTGCCACGTCAGGGCAACTTCACAAAACGCGGCCGAGGGCGGGTGACGCAGGCCCAGCGGCCCAGCGGGGTTGGGCCCGTGGCCAATCGAGGAAGCTGACCTCCAGCCCCGGCGCCTGCCTCAGCGACGCCCCGGCCGGCGCCGGCGCCTGCCCGGCCCACAGGGAGGCGGGGACAGCGGAGAAGGCGGTGCCATCGCGAAGCCTGCGCCTCGCCCGCATCCTCAGCACCCGGCCAGCAGTCGGGCCCTCGGCGGGGCGGTGTCTGCGGAAGCTCCCTGGGCCTGGCCAAATCGCCCCGAGCCGCGCTGAGACCCGGGCACCAGCGGCGCGGAGAGGAGGTCGGAGCCGGGCCATCGACCAGCCATGGAGACCCGCTACAACCTGAAGAGTCCGGGTGAGCAGGGCTGGGGCGGTGGGCAGCGCTGGCAGGATAGACCGGAGTGAACCTGGTCTCCAGGGCCGGCACTGCGGTCCCCTCGCGTCCTCCACCACTCGCGGCCCCATTCCCGGTGTCGCGCTGTACGCGAGACCGCCGGCTGCCGGAGTGGTGCAGGCCGCACAGCAGGACAGCCGGGCGCGCACCGGCTGCTGGACCTGGGGACTAGCCAGCGCGCCGCGGCACCCGGACTCTCCTTTCGCTCTTCTGCGTTGCGAGAAGCTGGGTTATAAACTCGTCCCTAAGGACAGGTGTAAAGATGATGCCCATGTCTAACAGTAACAGCCCCTTTTCGGACTGTTTCCTGAACAGTCCTCTTCTCCATCGCTGCCGCCAGACTTTTATTAACTGTTTGACTCACTCTCAGGTGAGGATTTAGTTTAAATATCCCATTTGCAGCATATGGGGCGAATAGAATCACAGACATGAAGTTAATACTCTGTACTTAACCGGCTAGCCAAAGAGCTAATGTGAGAACTAGTTGAGTCGTGTACTTTAGCGCTAACCATGATTTTTTTTTTTTGCCATGCTAACATGATACATATCTATTCATACAGACTTCTTTTCCAGTATTTAATGGCCCTACTTAATATACGGAAGTAGCCTAAACAATCCTAGCCTCAAATTTTTTTTCTGGTGCATTATAAAGATGCAAGAAAAGCAGTAAACTCTCTTGGTTTAAGGCAAGGTATGAAATGAATCATAGTAAATGGTATTTATTCTATCTGTACCGTGCTAAGTTTGTCAGGAGGGAGAAACCTACACAGTTCATCTCAGTGATAATCCTAAGATAACAGTAATAGTTTGACCAACACTTACTGCTTCTTTTTTTTCTTCCATTAAAGCAGCTTCTCAGTAGGAATCAGCAATATTAGCATTCTTATGGAAAGAGGTGACATTGTGAATTTTGATTTTTTTTAATCTTCACCCAAGGACGTTTTTCATTGCTCTTTAGAGAGAGTGGAAAGGGGGGGAGGGGGAGAGAGAGAGAGAGAGAGATCTATTGCCTCCTGTACTCACCAGGATCGAACCCACAACCTAGGTGTGTGCCCATACCAGGAATCAACCTGCAACCCTTCAGTTATGGGAGGATGCTCCAACCAACTGAGCCACACTGACCAGGGCTGATTTTTTTTTTTTTTTTTAATACTTAAGAATATTCAAAGACTTCAGAAAAGTCTAAGGATATTGATTGAACAGAGCTTTGTTAACTTATGTTTTGTCAGGCTGAGAAAAGTTCTTAGGTGACCAAGTATGTGGAATGAGTCATACCATTTGGGGGTGGGGCACAGATTCCTTTTAAAATCTGGTGAAGGCTGTGGGCTCTCCAAGAAATAATTTATATAATTCAATTTCAGTGGGGCCCTGACTTCCCTCCTCCAACCCATTTCTCAAGAATATCAGGGGGTGGAAAAAGGAAAATCAAAGAGAAAGAGGGAAAGAAAAACTTACTTTTAAGTTTAGATGGTTAAATTATTTAGATTATGGTTGATTTATTTAAAACTGGGGTACAAATGTATAGTGTCACGCATTACCAAGTTCTTTAGGAAACGCCCAGAGATAATGAAAATGTGAGTAAGATTTGGAATGGAGATTGTTGTCAGAAGAGGCTGCTCAGTTTTACTGATTATCGTACCTGAGATTGTGATAAGTATTAAATGTCCTCCAGAATTTTGTACATTTTTAAAAAAAGATTTTATTTTTAGAGGGGGGAAGGGAGGGAGAAAGAGAAACATCAATGTGTGGTTGCATTTCACACGCCCTCTGCTGGTGACCTGGCCTGCAACCCAGGCATATGACCTATACACTAGGAATCGAACAGGCGACTCTGGTTTGCAGGCCGGGGCTCAGTCGACTGAGCCACATGAGCTAGGGCTACATTTTTGAAGTACAATATATATGACCTATTGGCAGCACACTGAGCTTTGGATAACATGCTTCTAGCTGTGTAGAAAATTGCTTCCTCTTTTGGGTTTCATTTCCTCAAAGGTGATGTTACTGTTCTAAACCAAATTAAAAAAAAGATTTTTTTTCTCATTGTGTGGATCATTTGGAATTAAATGAGGTATGGGACTGGGTGGAAATGCTAGGAGGCTTAGTGAAAGTGCTGCCTTCCTTTGTTTTATTCCCAGTCCCGTGATATTTTGAGTAATGTGTACACGAGGAAGTTGTTAAAAAACACTGCATGGTATAAGAGATAGAATCCTTTTTCTATCCCAAGTGTCTTAGAAATATGGATGGGACAATTAAGTTAAGCAACACAGATAACTGGCTAAGGGCATTGTGCTAGCATGTGGATAGTAAATTTGTCCATTTTATAGGTGAGAAGATGTATTTCTTTATGATTTTTCTGGAATGGACTTGTGGTTGTGGGCACAGCTCTATGGGACCACCTCATAAGCCCTCTGACTAGCCTGTCGGTAGTTGCCCCTGGATCAAGTTCACTGACTCTTTTTTGGGTCTGCTCTAGCCAAGGTAGTAGGGTCTCAGTACAAAGTAGGGAGACCTATATATAAAGAACCTCCTGTGGCAGCTTTCCTTGGAAGGGGCTACTGGGCATGTTTAGCAGGCTATTGGCGTATGTATAAGAGACTGGTGCAAAGGCACCCACTGTCTCCGTCTGAAACCTATGAGTTATCTATCCTGACCGTGCCTTTCACGTCAACTGCACCTTCGTGCTCATCATTCTCAAGCTTTAACATACAATTCAGATCCTTCTCCTAGACTGTAGATACATAGAACTTAATGGTGATTTCACATCTTCACCCGCATTTCTCACAAACCAACAAAATATCTACAAGGTGTAAATACCAAAATTAATGAGTTTTCTCTCCTCCCCCAGGCTTGCATCTCACCTTAATATTCCTTACTCTAGAGATTGACAGCACCCAAACACCCGTGGGAGTCATCTTTGATCTCTTGGTCTACTCCTTTACTCCACCCCCTACCCTAAAACTCTCTCACAGGCATTTAAGCATGGGTGTCAGTACACACAGGCACCCATATATCTAACCAGTCACGGTTGCCACCAGATAAATGAAAACAAAACAAAATATTGCATTTTACCTGATTTATAATGCACATCCATGTTTTTGGCCCAAACTTTAAGGAAAAATCTTTCATTTTAATTTTTAATTCAATTTTTAATTTATTTATATTTAGATACTTGTTTTTTGTATTATAAAGGAATTTTAGCATTTATTTTTGAACATATGCTATAAGAAATTTTGTATAACAAATAATTACAAAACACAAAAACAGATACAAAGTACAAGAAATTTTAAAAAGAGTTCACACATTTATATAGATGCAGAATTGGTACCATCCGTGTATAATGTGCATCCGTATTTTCTCTCAAAAATTTGGGCAAAAGAATGTACATTTTACATGGCAAAATACAGTAAAACCTGGTTAGGTCAGTTCTCAAATTGAGAAGTTTTCAGTAGCTTTCTGATAGCTGTGGATAAACTTCAAAGTAAATTGTTTTGCTTGTCCTATAGGGCTGCTCATGATTTGATCTTTGCTTTTCTCACCATCCTTATCCTATCACCATTCTTTTGCATTTTTACCATCTGTCTATTTGGCCTGAGTGTCCCCAGATAGAACAGCTCATCTCGCCCTTGATCCCTGTGGAGCCTCTGCTTGGAATTCCTTCCCTTTAATCCTCAAAATTCCTATTAATTCTTCAGGCTTCTTTAAGGTTCAGTCTTGTTCAACTCCTGTAGGCACACTAGGGTAGTCCCTATATTTGTATATACTTGGTCATTGTCTGTGTTGTAATTGTTTTCATGTCTCATGGTGATCTTTCAGAGGGCAAGAAGCAGGTCTTGGTCATTCTATTTCCATTGCTCAGAGTCATTAATTTTTTTTTTAAGATTTCATTTATTTCTTTTAGAGAGAAGGGAAGAGAGGAAGAGAGAGAGAGAGAGAGAGAGAGAAACATCAATGTGTGGTTGCCTCTGACACACCCCTAACTGGGGACCTGCCCTGCAACCCAGGCATATGCCCTGACTGGGAATCAAGCCTGGGACCTTTGGGTTCACAGGCCAGTGCTCAAACCACTGATCCACACCGCACAGGGCCAGACATTCATTCTTTTAGGTATTTGCTGAATTGATACCTTTGCAGGTCTTCCTGGGCAGAAACATCAGTCAAACATTTGCCTTCATGTGGGAACAGTACGAGGCCATTGGGGAGCATGACATTGTGTTCACATCCTCAATACATCTGCCTCTTTTGCATTTTACCCATGCTTTGGAGATTGACAATATCAAGATATTTGCTTTCTAAAAGAAATAGATGCATGAGGGACAGTGATGTGTAAAAGATCCCCCATGTCTTGACCAGTGTGGCTCAGTTGGTTAGGCATTGTCTCGCAAACCAAGAGATCACTGGTTCTGTTCCTGATCAGGGCACACGCCTGTGTTGTGGGTTCAGTCCTTGGCTGGGCATGTGTCGGAAGCAATGGATTGCTGTTTTCCTCTCACAATGATGATTCTCACCCTCTCTTTCTTCCTTCCCCTCTTTCTAGAATCAATAAAAGAAAAATAAATAAATAAAAAAGATCCCCGTAGCTGTAGATTTGTCTTTAATTCCAAAAATTAACCCAGGGACCTAGCCTGGACATGTGCAGAATCCTAGCGCCTGGGTCTGTGGAGCCTAGAGCTTTGACCTAGAGCGATCCTGTGTCTTCCACGAAAACAAAGAAGCAGGGCAGGCATGCAGGTGCTCCCCACCCCTTTTCTCTGCCCTGGAACATCTTATCTCACCATGAAAGGAGAATTCCATTGAATAATCTTGCAAAGAGATAAGAGAGGAACTGATAGGGGGGAAAGTTTTCTCTCTTGTCCTATGGTAGCAAAAAATGGGGTAGCATAGAATAGCAGACTATGCTTTAGCCCTAGTTGCCAGTCAGTACTTTGAATCTTGACTACTCCATAGCAGTGACATTTCTCCTTGGGAGCCAGGGAGCCATGCCACGGGCCAACGACATAGGCTCAAGGCCTGATTTTGAAACAGGATTATTGAGAAGGCCTTATATCCCAATTCAATTCTCACCTTAATAATTTGTGACTTGGGGAAGAGGGAGGGGTGAAAAGGAAAGGAGAATTATGTGAAAAATTATTGACTCTCATTTGACAGATATAAACATTGAGGCACAATAAGATTAAATGTCTTGTTCAAGGATTTAGGCCTAAGGAATCAGAGCCAGGATTTTAATGCAGTTCTAATTCCAGAGTATACATTCTTTTTCACTAAGGCATTCATAATATATGTTATTTCACGAAAAGTAAATTATGAAAACACTAGACTGGTCTCATCTTCTGTTTGACTGTGTGACTTTAGCTCTCACATAGTACATGCCTGTGTGGCCTACGAACTAATAAAATCAACATGTTTAATTGTTAAGTGAATGATTATTCCTTTAAATGCATTTTATAGCATTTCTGGTCCTTTCATATATCTTCCTTAATATCTAGGTACTACTGGGTGTTTATTTTCTTCTCTCCAACCTAACTGAGCTAAGTGAGGAAGAAGCAGAAAAAATGTAATAAAATATGGAATGACATAAATCTGACCTCTTCAGTCCTGACTGGTGTGGCTCAGTGGATTGAGTGCTGGTCTGCAAACCAAAGGGCCGTTGGTTCGGTTCCCAGTCAGGGCGCATGGCCAGATCCCTGGTCGGGAGTGCACGGTGGGCAACCACACATTGATGCTTCTCTCCCTCTCTTTCTGCCTCCCTTCCTCTCTCTAAAAAGTAAATAAATAAGATCTTTAAAAAAAAATCTGACCTCTTCAGCTTGAACATTGTGCAGCTAGCTGATAAGGAATGAAGGAAAAACAATCGTCTTGGCATCTTTGATTGCTGACAGCAGCCAAACTAATTAACTTCGTAACAGCTTCCATGATTTACTTATATATAATATTATTACATTCTAAGATTTTTGTTTAACTATTTTTAGAGAGAGGGCAAGAGAGGGAGAAGGAAAGGGAGAGAAACATCGATGTGCCGTTGGTTGCCTCTCTCACGCACCCTCAGCTGGGGACCTGGCCCGCAACCCAGGCATGTGCGCTGACTAGAAATTAAACCAGCCACCTTTTGGTTTGCAGGCCAGCATTCAATCCACTGGGCCACACCAGCCAGGGTTATATCTATATCTAATATTGTTAATTTTAAACAACCATATTTTTATGAGCCCCAAACCAGGGGTTTTCAATCTTTGTTTTGTGGGCCCCTTAGATAGAAGAGGTGAAGGGCAGGTAAATAGCTTGAAGGCCCTTCCTTGTCCTGGCTTCAGCCAAAGCAGTTCTCTGTTAAGGGTTTTACAAATTGAGGTTCTTATCAAGCTTTTCTTTGAACAATGGATTTTATCTTGTTGTCAGATAAGTTTGAAAAACATTGCCTTTAATCATATCCTTGGAAAGAGATTTGTTGGGGGAAGATAATAAAAGTTAATTCAATTAATATTTGAGAGCTGGCTGTGCTAAGTCCTTAGGAGACTGCAGTGAGGTAGATTGTTTAGCAGGTGTTAAGTAATTACAAGTGTTTCGAACTTTAGAAAGGAGAAGAGACTGGTGTTATGGGGGCTTATAGTAAGGGCACTCACCCTAGTGCTCTTTGCCTGGGGCAGCGGCTTCCAAACCTGACTGAGCATTAGAGCAACTTGGAGAGCATTCCTGGTCTCCACTCTCCTCCCAGAACTCTTCAGGGATTTTTATCTGTCCAGATGGGAATCTAGTCACTCTTCTGAGGGTGAACAAGGAAGGAGGTCAGGAACACCTTCCTGAGGAAGTTACTTAAAGATTTGGTGGGATCCAGTCTGGACGATAAGGTGGGGGTGGGGGTGGGGGTGGGAGCAGTGCTGCGAGCTGAGGAACTGGTAGGTATGAAGGTCTGGCGCGGAGAGGAGTGGAGTGTCTACCACTTGCGGTAAGAGTGTCTCAGTATATGTAATACATGTTTCTACTATAGCATTTATCATGCTCTTTTGTGTTTGATTACTCCGTCCTCCTCCCCAAGACTATAAGCTCCTTGATAACTGAAACTATTTTATTTTGGTTGTAGATATAGCATGTAGTATGAGCTCAGTAATAAATATTTGATGATCAAGTGAACACAGTCTCTGCCTTCAGGGGCCTAGTTTAGAGGAGGAGGTGGAAAGAATATTAATTATTATGGAATAGGGTCATGACTTAAGAACTTCTTTTCTTACTTTAGGAACCCTTGATTAAAATGAAATTTTGTGCAAAAGTCCTGATACATACTGAATTGTGATACTGTGTGGGAGTTGATTCTTACTTAACCTCTCCTGATCACTTTCCACCCTATGCCACCACACATTTTGCTTTTATTGTTTCCTCTATTCATACCCACCTCCTTCATTCCTATTGTCTTTTTTTTTCAGATGTCAGTACCTGACCTCTTTTCTCTAGTGTCTGCTGTGAGGTTAGGTGCCCACCTGGTGCATGCCTCTCTTCTTATAGCACCAACATCAGTTGATTTTTAAGCAGAGTTTCCTGGAGCCTTGGCCACTTGTCTTTTTCTTATGGCTTTGCCATCCTACACCATATCCTGACATTTTTTAGCACCTGAAGCTTGACGTGGGAGGGGCTGGGATCAGAGGATTGACATTTGAGAGCCAGTAAGTATGGAAAGAGGGTACAGATACAGTGATTTATCATGGAAATAAAAGGCTGTGCCATCAACTGAAAGAGGTAGAAGAGAGATAAGTAAGTAAATAGGTGTGAAATAGTCTTAGGGTGCAATTTGGAAAGAGTGGGCCAGTGGCTTACTAGAGAAATATAGGGACATTGGGTGGCATTGTGTTCCGGTGGAGGTTGCTGCTAATTACTCTGTAATGGCATCAATGTGCCTCTGTGACTTTTTCACCCCCTTCAGTAATGCTCAGCTGTTTGAGTATAGACGCCAAGTAAGAAGACGGTTGGGTTGGGTCAGCTAGAATTGAATTTTAATAGGGGAGTATGAAAGAGGAGACCCTAAGGCCAAGAGTGTAGATAAAGAGGGAGTGAATATAAGGATAGGTGAATATAAAGATAAGTAAAGGAAGTTGTGGGGCAGTGGATGGCGGTTTTAATTAAGCTGAAGAATCATTTCAAAAAGAAATCAATAAGGACAATGGAGTTATGTGACTTTCTGAAGACAGCCCCATTAAGTTAGTTCAAGATACTGAGTGGAAGTCCCAAGAGGTTGAAAATATAGGCGGCTTTACTGTTCATTAGCATGAGTTCCAAAGGGCACATTTGTGTCAATATAGACATTTTGACATGGTAGAGGTGTATTGTCTGTGTTGGAATTCCAACTCTGTCGTTTATTATTTGTGCGACCTTGAACTAGTTTCTTTTTCTGGAAAATGGGGATTTTTCTGTCTCATAGCATTGTTTTGAGGATTATTTGAGTTAATGTTTGAGTGCTACCACAAAGGAAGTGTATATCAGTACTTACTAAATAAAAATAGTGTCCCTATAAGACTTACCTATATATTTCATTTAATATACAACTCTTCTAATATCTAACTACAATTTCCTCTCCCCCTCCAATTATTACTGTTATCCCATAAGTAAACCCTCACCATATACTCAGTTGAACCAGTACTCTATACATGTTTTGTTAAAGTAGAAACTTTTTCATTAGGTTTATAAACCTGTGCTAATCACTTGGTAAAGTATATTTTAAATGTCTCTATCTTATGAATTTTATTTTAGCTGTTAAACGTTTAATGAAAGAAGCAGCAGAATTGAAAGATCCAACAGATCATTACCATGCACAGCCTTTAGAGGTTAGTTTCTGTCTCCATCTCCTACATGTGGATTTTAACATTTTAAACAAATTCCTTAAAATTGTTTTTTCATTGCTTTGAGTCATTGCAGATGTGTTTGATGTGGTTTATTAATGTATTTTACTCCCAGTGTTTCCTGAGTATTTCATTAGCCATTTGGAATAAGACATTTTAGAAGCAGCTGATTTCTGGTCTCTATAAAATGAGTCTCAGATGCTAAATTTGTTTTAGGCCTTGAAAATGAAGGAGAGAGGAGAAGGGGAAAGAACCCAATACTTTTCGCAGTTTGGAAGACCTAGCCCCTTGAAGGATCTCTGCAGCTAGTCTGGGCTTTTTGTACAAACAATCTCTACCTCTCTTCAGTTTTCTTATCTGTAAAAGGGGGGTATTTAAAAGTGCTCAGTCTGGTTTCTGAATAAAATGCAATAATATATGCACAAATATTTTGCAAACTGTAAAGTACTTGGTAACTGGAAGATGATATTGGTAGCATATATGTATTACTATCACTGACCACTTATAAATAGACTCTTACGTATCTGTGAGGGTTAATTTTTAAATATTGTTAAAATAATCTACATTTTAATTAATTATTTGATTATACAATTGATCCTTGAACAATGCAGGGGTTGGATTCCCAAATCCTACAGTTGAAAATCTGTATATAACTTGACTCCCCAACAACGGAACTACTAAAGTAGCCTACTGTTGACCAGAAGCCTTACTTCTGATCAATATAAACAATTACTTCTGATAATATAAACAATTAATACATTTTTTATGTTCTGTGTATTATGTACTGTATTCTTACAATAAAGTAAGCTAGATAAAAGAAAATATTAAGAAAATCTTAAGGAAAATACATTTACAGTAATGTATGTGTTTACTGAAAAAATTCAAGTATAAGTGGACCCATTAAATTCAAACCCATGTTATTCAAGGATTAACTGTATAATAATTATCACTAATTAGTATTGAAGGACTAATTTCTAGTTTAATTAAATCTATAATTTTACTTATGAATATATAACAATACTCAGACATTTTTAAATGCATTTGTTTAGAAAAGATTTAGCTCTTTTGGGACACAAAAGCTAGATTAAATAGCTTTTACTTACAATTTTTATACTTGAGGCATTTTGTGTATTAGAAACTGTTTCTAACAATAATATAAAACAATTTTTCTCACCCAGTAATGTTTCTTATAGTCATTATTAAAAACAGACTTTTTAATGTTTCTGATTCTTTGTTGGTTATTTGTTTTTGTTCAGGATAACCTTTTTGAATGGCACTTCACAGTTAGAGGGCCCCCAGATTCTGATTTTGATGGAGGAGTTTATCATGGACGAATAGTACTCCCACCAGAGTATCCCATGAAACCACCAAGTATTATTCTTCTAACGGTAAGAATTCTTGGCTTTTTGAAATGCCCGTTGTTTAACTCTTCATGGTGGCTTCAAAATATGGGCAACATACTCACTTACATTAAGAAATAAAGTGGAACATTATTATTATTTTGCTTTTGGGAGTCAGGCCTTATACTATAATTTTTTCCCCCAAAAAATAATCCAAAGGAATTATTGATGCTAATGAATGTGTAATTAGCATAGTGTGTTTTGTTAGAATTCTATGAATTAATGTATGCAAAGGGCTAGGCAGTATCTGGCACATGATAAGTACTCAGTAAAGGGTAATTAATGATACTATACCTCTTAATCACATCATCTCATATAACTTCTCACTTTTCTTATGCTCTGTTCCTCAGTTTCCTCATTTTTATGTGTAGCTCTTAGAGGAAGTGACAGAGTCCTCAGTAAACATTTGCTGTATTATTACTATTTATACCTTAGCATTTCTATCTATGTTCACATATTTTATCTCCATGTGTATGAAAACTATTAATCCAATTTTCTCTTCTCTTTTCCTGGGAAGTGTTCCATTACTAAATTCTTCTCCTAATTATTCAGCTTTCTTCCCCTCATTTCCTTTTATTTATAAGTATCCCCAGCCTTGACTAAAGCAAAAACAAAACATGAGAACTTTTCTTTATCTCTGCTTGCCACTTGATGATGTTGTCTTACTTTTATCTTTGAAACCTTCAAGGCACCTTTACCCTAGTTTAGCCTGCTCGTAGTCTGGTTTCCACGCATGCTCACTACGTGAATCTCAAAGACTGGTTTGAAGAATCCCACTGCCTCTTCTCAGTCTTTATCCTGTTCCATCTAAATTAAACACCTGACACTTCATGTGGTAGCAAATAGTGAGACAAAAGGTATTCATTACTAATTACCAAATTAATGCTACTTTTTACTTATATTTAGTGTAATGGAAAAAGCATTAGTTTTAGAGCCAATAGACCTGGTCCTGACCAGTGTTCTTTCTATTACACCACAGGCAGGTAACTTGGTCTCTTGAAATTTAGTTTTCTCATCTGTCAAAAGGATTGTGTATGGTAAATACAATCACACTTTATAAAGTTCCTTGCATATAAAAGCTGCCTAACAAATATTAATTGATATTTAGAATCTTTAATGTGAGCAGCGGGGCTGAAGCAGGGTCCTGGAGGGGCCCTGCTATTTAGGAGTCTTTTCTTTGCTAGATCGTGGGGAGAGCCAAGTGGTCTAGGGAGAGGAGCTGATGCGTGTGGGAAAACTGGAGAAGGGTGGTTGGAGCAGCAGCTGTTCTCCAAGTACGGAAATATTTCAAGAGTTAAACAATGGTATGGTCATATGTAGCACAGTTGCTGAGAATCAACCTTGTCCTCCTGGTTTTCAATATTTGTTCTTTCTGGTTCACTTCCTCTCTTTTGAAAACTTTCCTCTCTTTTCCAACCTTTATTCAACAAGTATTTATCAAACATGTAGCATTCACCCTGTGGGTGCAGCAGAAAATAAGTCAAATTCTCTGTTCACATGAAGCATATACTCTAACTTCATGCCTCTTCTTCCTTCACCTTCTCCTAAACGAGGCTATTCTACAAGTTCAGACTTCAGATGTTTTTTCTTGTTTCTATGAAATGGCTTCAATGATCACTTCTGCGTAGTCAGGTACCAAATATATGTGTCTTCTTCTGATATCACCATGTCTGTATTTCTCCTGCCTGCTGGACATCATCAATAATAGCTCTTCTACCATGAAAATAGATTCATGTCCAAAACTGAAATCATTATCTCTGATCTTCCTCCATTGTGTTCCTATCTTATAAAATTATACTACCCTTCTGAAAATACTGCGCCCTCAGAGCCTTCTTCACCACTATCTAGGTGATACTAAGTCCTTAGGTTTTATCCTGGTCGTCTTTTTTTAGATCCTTCACAGAGCCTAGCACATTCCTAGGCACAGAGGAAGACATCAGAACATCTTTATATATCAATTATTTAGATTTCTGTTGTATAATTCGGTTTCAGAAAGGTGCTTCACATTGTAAAAACAGCTTGTATTATTCATTCAGAATCCAACAAATATTTGTGCAGTGTCTATTAAGAGGATAAAAATCTGTATCCCCTTAAAGATTACATTCTTTTAAAATTATCTTAAAAATTATATGTAAAATATATTTATACTTATAAAATGTAAAACATGAAATGCATCTATAATTTTTAAATGCCTTATTTATTCCTAAGGCTAATGGACGATTTGAAGTAGGCAAGAAAATCTGTTTGAGCATCTCAGGACATCATCCTGAAACTTGGCAGCCTTCATGGAGTAGTGAGTACTAATTTACAGTGAATATATCATAATTTTAGTTAATTCATAATTATAAAATATACCTTCTTGGGATCGAAGTTGTTTTTGATAAGTAATTTGATATGATTGAATGAATAATAAAAATGCTTTTTCTTGTCTAGATTTTGGCCATCACTTTACTACAACCCTCCTTCCTGTACCTCTTCAGTGAAAGCCTGAGTCTTTTTTTCTCTCTCCAGAGTAAGCCCAGTTCCTTTTACAAAGCGATTTAGATTGTTTACTTTTTATTTCAGTAAGAACAGCGTTATTAGCCATCATTGGGTTTATGCCAACGAAAGGAGAGGGAGCCATAGGTTCTCTAGATTACACACCTGAGGAAAGAAGAGCACTTGCCAAAAAGTAAGTTTTGCATTTTTTTCTTTTAAGACTTAAATATTATTCTGGAAAATGACTGTTAGGAGATGGTTCTGTCTCTTGCTCTGTGAGTTACTTTTCCTATGTGTTCTAGGCTTAGTTTTGCTCTTTTAGAAATTCAGTTGTACCAGTTTACTCAGGGTTGAACAGAGTCTAAAGAATTTATTTCATGCTATCTGGTTTTAGAAAGTAGTTGATAATATCTATGTACAGTGGGACCCTGGCTGGGTACTCAGTTGGTTAGAGTGTCATCCTGATGTGCCAAGGTTGCAGGGTTTGATCCCTGGTGAGGGCACATACAAGAATCAACCAATAAATACATAAATAAGTGGAACAACAAATTGATGCCTGTTTCTCCCCCTCTCCCTGCCCCCCAAATTAATTAAAAAAAAAAAACTACAGTAGGAAGTATCTTCTAGAAAACAGTACAGGTCACTTATCTTTACGTGGACAGCATTACAGATGGAAAAGAACTAGAGCCATTATTAATGTAGCTTCCCACAAGATTTAAAACTAATTGAGAGCAGAGAGGGAATTCACTTACCCATCTTTGTATCTGTAGTATCTGGCTCATAGCAAGTGCTCAGTAAATGATCTGGAATAAAGAAAAGGAGATTTTATTAAGTTGTGGTTTCCTAGTGGTATTACCTTCTCAGTTTTTTGCCTTCTGTCCTTATAACCCAGCTTAGTCATTAGATTTAGAGTATTCTCTCCTTTGAGTAGTGCTAAAACTGCTTCTTGATTTTGATCATTTTCCTGTTCTGGATTCTGCTGCCTACCACTCTTCAAACATATTTTATGAATTAAATTATATAGGGGTGGGCAAAAGTAGGTTTACAGTTGTGAGTACGTGAAACAGTTTATTTTTGTGTTACTATTTATTAGTTACTGTATTATTTTCCATATGAACAACTGTAAGCCTACTTTTGCCAACCCCTGTAGCTTATCTTACCCTAGCACAGCCCCAAATAGGCCCTTTACAGATGTTTGTTCAATCAAAGAGATTTTAGTGTCTGGAATATTTGGTAGACCCTCTGGTTTCACCAATATCTTCTCTTTTTAAAGCTATTCCAAGTTCTGGGGATATACCTTACAACTATTCTTCACAAATGATAAGATGTATTTTGAATACATGACATTTGTTTTACTTGATTTTTTATATTGGATTCCTGTCTTGATGTTTTTACCTAGTCCATTTTGTGTACACAGTAAAAAAAAAAAAGAATTTGGTTTTTTATTCTCGACTTGTCACTGTGTTTGTGTATTCTAGGTTCTTAGTTTGTATTAGAGGCTTTTTAAAAACCTGATTTTGCCTTTAACCATAATAAGCTACTATTTTTGTGGATAAACCAATATACTCAAAATAAATATTCTCCTTTAAGTTTCATCTGACTTTGTAGTTAAAAGTACACACATTTTAAGGCAGAGAATTTGGATAAAACTGATTCTCAAAAGGATATGGATAATAGTACTGCTTCTGATGAAACAAGAACATTAATCAGTAAATACTAAATTAATACTACTTTGACATATATTTTGTCTACATGAAGCTATTTCTTAATAGCATATTCTTTAAGACCTAAGGCTTTTATTATGTTGAACTAAATGTACAATAAAACAATATTTAAAAAGGAGGTTCAGCAATGTTATAATATATTTTTACATAGTAAGTGTATTTATTTACTTCTAGGCATACAAATCGTCAGCATTCTTGAAAGCTTTAGGGCACTTTTTGGCTATATCTGGAACACAAAGGAGAAAATGAAAGCAGAAAAACAAAGAAATCTGAGGAAAGTCTAGTTAACATTATCTTATTAACCTGTTACATCTATTAAGTAGATATCTTGAGTATCTACTTAATATAATCAGTGATAAACTTCAAAATCTAGGTTTTTCCATGAGATTTTTTGTCTTTCAAGTTGTACTGCTATTTAGATCAATAGGATTTGTGAGCCCTCCCCCCGCCCCACGGAAATATCTGTAAATTCTATTTTTAATTGACTTCTTTACTGTTTAAATATGTTTGTGTTAAAAATAATTTGAACTTTCTAATGGGCTTTTTTACAGGCTTAACATAGGCTTGTTATGTGTGATCCTGAGGACAGTGTAGTTAGACAGTTTACTGTATTTGCCATGTATAATGCATACTTTTTTGCCTAAATTTTTGAAGGAAAAATAAGGATGTACATTATGCATGGGTAGTACTGTCTTAATCTATATACATGTTTTTAATTCTTTTATTTATGCTTATGAGTTAAAATGTAACTCCAGAAAGCAGTAATGATATCTGTATGCAAAATAATACCCTGGAATATAATAATCGGTTTTGTTTCTAAATATAAATAAATACAAATTTGAATTAAAAATTAAAATGAAAGATTTTTTTCCTGAAAGTTTAGGCCAAAAACACAGGTGTGTATTATACATGGGAGCACATTATACATGGCAAAATACGGTATATCTTTTGTCATACAAATCTAAAGCTGATTTTTCTCTAGATAGTATATTGGGAAAATAATGAAATCTTAGCCCAATTTTTTTTAAAATAATGTCTCCTCTGCTTTTTTTTTTACAATTTAAAGATTTTATTTATTTACTTTTAGAGAGAGTGAAAGGGAAGGAGAAAGAGAGGGAGAAAAACATCAATGTGTGAAAGCTAGATTGATCAGTTGCCTCTCTCAGGCTTCTAACTGGGAATCTGGCCCGCAGCCCAGGCATGTGCCCTGACTGCAGACCTGCACTCAGTCCATTGAGCCACACCAGCCAGGGCTTTTATTTTAATTTTTTTAGATTTTATGAAATTTTAATGTTAGATTTTTTTAAAAAAAGATTTTAAGTATTTATTTTTAGAGAGAGGGGAAGGGAGGGGGAAAGAGAGAAGAAGAAAAACATCCATGTGAGAGAGTAACAGGCCCCCTACCAGGGACCCGGCCTGCACACCAGGCAAGTGACCTTTTACTTTGCAGGACTCGATGCCCAACCAACTGAGCTGTACTGGCCATGGCTAATGTTAGATTTTTTAAAAAATATTAAGATATAATTTACATAAATTTTTGTATGCCAACATAACGTGTATATATCTCAGAACTATAATTATGGCCATAGTTGTCTAATTTACATGTAGATAAATGTGATACGGAATTATTCAGTGTTTTCTTTTGAATTTAAAACATTCATTATTTGAGTGTCTTGAATTAATATTCGCGTATTTGATTTGTTCTATTAAAAAAATTACTTCTTACCAGATCACAAGATTTCTGTTGTGAGGGATGTGGCTGCACCATGAAGGATGTCCTGTTGCCTTTAAAATCTGGAAGCGATTCAAGCAAGGCTGACCAAGAAGCCAAGGAGTTGGCTAGACAAATCAGTTTTAAGGTACTCTAAATTGATACGTAAATTCAAATTATGAAGTCCTTTTATTTACTTTTAAAAATAAATATAGTCCTATTGCAATAAGGTTTTTACAAGTAGTTTTTTAATTAGAAAACTAATAATATACATTCACAGAGGCATTATATATAGCATAGTGGTTTGAAGCTTGGACTCTGGTATACAGTGCCAGGTTCAAATCCAGCTTTGCTGTTTATGAAAAGTAGGACATCAGACAAACTACCTACTTTGTGCCTTTTTCACACCTGTAAGTAAACACAGTATTTATCTTGTGGGATTCTCATGAGGACTAAATGAGTTATTACTCACTTACATGTATTACATTTAGAACTGTCCCTGGTGCTTAATAAGTTTTAGCTATTACTATAGAAAATATAGATAAGCAATAAGGAAATAACAATTATATAATCCCCGTATCAAGAAATAACCACTGTTATTATTTTGGCATATCTCCTCTGTATCCTTTTTTTCTGCATATATTTTGCCCAAACATATAAATACTTCTATAATTTAATTAGTTCCATAAAAAAATGTCAGCCTGCATTAAGCAGCATGTTATCTCCTCTGTCTTTTCTACCTTTCTGCATCCTGTCTGTCTTTCCAAGGTCCAGTTGTTGGGAGAAATTTTTCCTTCTATTTCATTGTACTTAAAAGAGGAGGTGCTTAATAAAGTTGGTTGTTTTCTTCACTCTGAAGATTCCTATTGTATATAAAATTGCTTTTCTGAAAATCTCAGGGCCTGATGTGTTTTGTACTTCAGAATTTTAGATTTTAGAAAATATCAAATACATACCATATGTTAATACTCATTGTGGGATCTGGGCAGTTCCCCATAATCACATTCATTAATATTTTATCAGCAAACCTGTTATATCTACACTAATGTAGAATAAAGACTGTTAATAGCCTAACATGTCAGGCTTTGCCTGAAAATTACAGAAAACTTTAGATTTTAGAGATTTTTGGAATTTTAGATTGTGAGCCATGAGTATTAGTTTTGTCTCTCACCAAGTACCATCTCCTTGAGAACAGGGATTGTCTCTGAGTCTTTCTGTAAAACCTAACATAGTGTTGGACATGTGAGTGCTCAACGTTTAACTGATCGATGTTCATATTAAAGTAGCAATTAAAATAAATTTAGGAAAGGGCCTTGGCTGGCGTGGCTCAGTGGATTGAGCGCCCGCCTGTGAACCAAAGGCTTGCGAGTTCGATTCCCAGTCAGGGCACATGTCTGGGTTGCCGACCAGGTCCCCAGTAAGGGGCATATTAGAGGCAACCACACATTGATATTTCTCTCCCTTTCTTTCCTCTCTGTGTAAAAATAAATAAGTAAATTCTTTAAAAAATTAAAGTCTAAGGAAGGAAATATAGTTGGTTTTGCATTCTGTATAGTTCTTATAATACTGCTCTTGGGTGTTATCTTTTTTATAGGCAGAAGTCAATTCATCTGGAAAGACTATTGCTGAATCAGACTTAAACCACCCTTTTTCACTAAATGATTTACAAGACAACGTACCTACAACATTCCAGGGTGCTGCAGCCAGTACATCGGTATGGTTCTTTTCTTTTACATGGATGTATACCTGTATGTATAACACCCAATGTTCATTATCATTTCTTGCAGTAGTAGGAGGACATCGCTAGAGGAAATATCTGACTATTTTGGTTTTCCTAGTTGGATTCTAGCCCACCTCTCCCTCTAATGAATTACTATACTTTCTTGAGAAAGTTATTCACACTTTCTGGGGGTTTTTTTGTTGTTAAATGGGGCTGGACTCAATTATTTTTAGCTCCTATTGTCCCTCTGGAATTCTTGGATTTCTCAGAAAAGTTAGCTTCAATGTAGTGCTGCAGTTAAAATAAAACAAAACATACATGCATTGACCACTTTCTGAATAGGCAGTCTGTCTTCAGCAGGCCTGTTAGGCTGCACGAAGGCAGTGACTTAATAGAGGCCTAGAGAAAAAGAGTTGCCTTAGCCGTGCTCTGTCCAGTGTAGTAGCTATTAGCCGATGCAGCTATCTAAATTTATATTTAAATTATTCTGAATTCAGTTAAAAATGCAGTTTCTTGGTCGCACTGGCCACATTTCAGGTAATTTATAGCCATGTGTGGCTAATAGCTACCATATTGGACAGCATAGATAGTGAACATTGTCATCGTCACGCAGAGTTCTGTTGGACAGAGCTGCCTTGTGCATAGTTAAGTGCACAAGTAATAAGTAATTACTGAACGAAAGATTAAATGAATGCTGTGGCTGTTGTTCATTATGCCCTGATGGAACTATTGTCTAAATATTGGGGCTAGGGAGGCCTAGGCCATCAGAGAGACCGACTAAGAAAATGTGACAGAATTGTTCCTAAGTAATTAAGATTATGGGGAAAAATGCTGACTTTATGTAAGAGATGAACTGTCTTTTGGGGTCTTTTTGGTAACACATTATTTGGTGGAGTAACCAGAGTCTCCTCACTTCCCCAAGTTTACGGAAGTTTTAAAGGGCTGGGAAAATTGGAATAGAAGCTGGGCAAATACAGCTTTGTCTTTTACTCAGGAATAACTTACTGTAAAATGGGACTAAATAGTGTTGAGTGGCTCCGTTCTATTCAGAGAGTGAGATGGCAGAGGTGGATTGGTGAAAGCGGGGGAGGGGCTGCCCTGAAGGAAGTACTTGGAAGACTGGAGGTCTAGGTACAAGAAAGAAGTGTATGTTGAGAGTTAAATTGTTTTTACGTGACCTACGTGTAAATTTATGAATTGTAGAGGAATATAATGAATTCATATTAGTCAGGGTATGTTTTAAGTTTTCACCTTTAAAATTCTTAATTGCTCCCTGGTTGGTGTGGCTCAGTGGATTGAGCGCTGGCCTGTGAATCAAAGGGTTGCTGGTTTGATTCCCAGTCAGGGCACAGTACTGGGTTGCAGGCCAGGTCCCCAGTTGGGGGTGCGTGAGAGGCAACCACACACTGATGTTTCTCTTTCTCTCTTTCTCCTTCCCTTTTTCTAAAAATAAATAAATAAAAACTTTCAAAAATTCTAATTGTTTTTTATTTCATAAATAGTTTTTTAGAAATAAAAACATCCTGTTACAGAAGAAGGTAACGTGGTAATTTTTTTTTCACCTGTAAGGACAAACTTCTAATATTTGTGATGTGTTTAGATCTGTCTTTAGTTTATTTTAAATCTGTGTCACATTTCCCTGTTGCATATTTCCAGTTATACTTAGTCCAAGTTTAATTTATATTATAATTAATTATTGTCTGTCTCACACAGAATGTAAGTTCGTTGAGGATTAGGGCTGTGTCCCCAGTGCCTGGCATAGTGTCCTGTTTATAGTAGGTGGTCAATATATATTTGTTGATTGAATAAATTAATCTTAGGATTAGAACTTTTTTTAAAAAAGTAATACAGGTAAAGAAATCAAGACATTAAAGTAAATTAGATAGTGTAAGCAATAGTGTTATCATTACAGTATTATTTTTCATTTTGATTTTTAGAATTATTTCATAGCTATTGTACCAATTCTGGTTAAAACACTGAAAAACAATAAGTTGCCTACAATCGTGAGTTAAGCTTTTAATTATATTTACCTACAAATCTCAGAGTGTAATTATGTAATTCAATCACTGTGGAGGTAACTGAGACCTGGTTTTGGCTAAGGGTGGCAGCTTTACATACAAGTGTAATATTAATTTACTGAGATGTTAGACATCAAATCCCAGATAGCTGTTTTTTTAGCATTGAGGGGGCGAGAGATTGCCAGAAGTCTAAATGCAGCATATAACAACATTAGGCCATCTGTTGCTTGTTGATGCAGATTTTTTATCTATGTGGAAATGGGAAAAATACTGATATAATTTTATGTTCTTCCAGCCTGTCGGATTGTTTTTTTCCTGTTCCCAGAGAGGTTCTGAATAAGCCATCCCATTTTGTATTAAAAAGCAAACATAAAACCCCCTCACAGAGGATGATTATTCCAGGTTATTACAGAAAAATTTATATGTGACTTATCGGTGCCTGTGATTTTAAAAAAATAATTTAAATTTAATTAAATAAAACCACGTTCATCCACCTTCCCAGAAATGGTTGCTTCACCTTAGTTAAGGAAATGGAAACTATTATGACTTAAGTCTATACTCTGTGATACGCATTTGGACAAGTATAGGCAAACAGCAAAGATTTAGAAGTCCTACCACCAATGTATTTTTTTTTAAGATTTTATTTATTTGTTTTTAGAGAGAGGGGAAGGGAGGAGGAAAGAGAAGGAATGAAACATAGATCGGTTGCCTCTCATGTGCCTCCAGCTCAGGACCTGGCCCGCAAGCCAGGCACATGCCCTGACTGGGAGTCAAACTGGCGACCTTCTGGTTTGCATAATGACACCCAATCCACTGAGCTACACCAGTCAAGGCCTACCATCAGTCTTAAAGCATTTTGAAAATGCTAAAGCCAACTTGATTCTCCATTTGACAGTTCAATATGAACTACCAAAATTTAGTCCAATTAGTCCTTCAACTTCAAATAAACTAGGTTTCTCAGGATCTATTGTATAAACTTGGGTTGTTAGGGTTTTCTCTTGATAAGATTATTTTTCATAGGAGAAATTTTAGAATTTTATACTACTACAGCACTAGGTTTTAGTTATAATTATCCAAAAGGCACCAGAAGTATAGAACCTAATTAAAGCAATATTACCTGTATAAATATTTCCATTAAGTACATGTATTATACTAAAATACCACCTAAAGTCAATGTTTTAAGGGATTGTTGTTCTAACTATATTAATCATGCTAATAAAGGTCCAAAAAGCTATCCTAAATAAACTCATGACTTCTTTTTTAACCTAGATCTGGTACCCTGAATGAAATATATTAATAGTAATAATATTAATAATGATTAGCACTTAATAAGCAGTTGTTATCCTAAGCACTTTATATCATTATCCTGTTTAATCTCACAACTACGGAATTGGATATTAGCCTCATTGTACAGATGTGGAAGCTGAGTCTGAGGTTAAATGAGTTATTTAGGGTCACACATTTATGAAGCAGCAAAGCCAGCCTAATAATGGTAAGACTCCCTGTTTTTGTCAGGTATATGGGCCGGATAATGTTCTCCCATCAAACTAATGGAAAAAACAGCATGTATGAAATAAAAACTTCATGCTGAGGCAGTCTTTTGTGTTAGTTTCTGGATTGATAGGATCTCATATATTTTTTTTATTTTCCTTAGAAGCCCATCTCCCTTTATTAGGCTTGAGTACTTTTGCTCTATCAGATACTTTTATCTTGGCTGAGCAATTGAAAGAATGGGATATTTCAAATTCAGTGTTTTATTGGCTGCTGTAACTCAGTTCAACTCAATGAGTATTTATTGTCATCATATGACATCTGTGACAATGTAAGACTTCATAAAATGTTGCAGCTTTGTGCATCTGCTCTCTTCAGTGAGGAGATTGCTCCTGGGGGTCCTGGAGTATGGAAGTCCAAGTTCATGCAACTCTAACTCAGTATCAGCATTGACATATTTTTAACTCAAAGTTGGTAGTTTATTTCTGTTGCTTTGTTACTGGCCACTACATTCAAGTGCTCCCAAATGATAGTTTTAAGAAATACAGATTATTTAAGCTTTTTCATGCTGAGATGAATGTCAGATTTGAAATGTAATTTCTTCTGCAGGTAACTGAGAAGAGCGTTTTTTTCCTAATGATTATAGCTGTTGTCAGCACAAAGCCCGTCCTCTTACCTATCTAAAAATGTACTTGAATTACATTATTGAATTCTTTTCTTCTTCTTCTAAATATCCAATTTTTCTCTTTAATAGAAAGTATTTAAAATGTTTTATATTTGTGTAGTTTTTAAAATTATACTGAATAAAACATACATTCTTCATTTGAAAGAATGTGTATTGGCATTCATATAATCAATATAAACTTGTTTTCAATAATTAAGGGCCATTGGGTTATTACAGGTAGAGTTAAAGTATCTGTATAAGTAAAATGGAATTCCTATTAAAGAGCTTTCTTGTCTGTAAACTATAAATAAGATTTTGACTCACTTGGACTACATTGTGGTTATGCTTTGAAGGAGCAGTCATCAAAGGACAGAAAGCATTTGACATCCAGTGCTTTATGGGGCACTTTGTGTGCCAAAATAGAGGGTACCTTGAGTCTCCCACAACCACCTCCAAATTTTTCTCAGTACATATCTAAGGAACTCTTGACATCACATAAAGTAACAATTCAAACATAAAAGGTTCTTCTAGACTTGTGTTCAATTCAGTTGATGAGAATTGTGAAAGAGGATAAGCCTAGTTTGAAAACCATATCTAATCATCAAATTTTTACAACAGTATTGTTGTACAGAACATATGGTTTGAGATTATTTCTTATGCTCTATGATTATTGGCAGAAGCATGTTGACGTAGTAAGAATGTTGAAAGAAACGTGGTCCATGCACACTGTTGCGAGATTTTTGCCATTTAGAATGGCAAATTTTCAAGCAGAAAGTGGAAATCAAATGCTTCTCTCCTTGAGTCTCCTGAAGAAGGGAGGTACCCCGATACCTGGCAGATTTTGTTGGAGTTGCGGCTGAGGGAGAGTAGAAAGCCCTCTATGGAGAATATGGGCAAACACTTTCCTTGTCTTACTTGTTTCTGGTAAATTCCTCCTCCATCTGGTGAGTACTCAGAAGAAGTTGTGTTGCTGTTTTATACAGAAGGGTGAGTTATTAGTCTCAACAATTACATAATTCTTGGTGGTTTTGCCCTCAGTCATATTTAGTGCTCTGAGAGTCTTTGTAATTTTGAATAGATAATAGGTATATGTATAAGTTTTCTTTGCCAATGTCAAACAAAATTTCTTAAAATTTCCTAGAATGCAGTCCAGAACCCCACGGGAGCATCCCTTCAACAACCTGTCCAACCTGTAGCTAAGAATACCTCCATGAGTCCTCGACAGCGCAGGGCCCAGCAGCAGAGTCAGAGAAGGTCATCTACTTCGCAAGAGGTAACCCAGGGCCAGCAGCCTAGAGACAACCACACGGATCATGGCGGATCTGCTGTATTGATTGTCATCTTGACTTTGGCATTAGCAGCTCTTATATTCCGACGAATATATCTGGCCAATGAGTATGTATTTGACTTTGAGTTATAATGCTGGTTTATGTCTTAAGAGCTGTGACTCAACTGCTTCATTAAACATTCTGCATTGGGTATAATCTAAGAATTGTTTACAAAAAAATTATTTTGTATTTACCCTTCATTCCTTTTTTGATCCTTATAAATTCAATATAAATATAGCTAGACATCCAGACTGTGTCCTCTTAGTGTAAGGGACTGGAAGTCAAGTCCTTTGTCTCACTATATTACCTGCTTTACAGGGAAATAATTTGTTATTCCTCTTATCTCAGCTTCTTTTTATGTAAATTTGTGATAGTTTTCTGTATAGCCCTTTTACATTTTTGGATAAAAGATAGTGTTTTAAGTTCCAATGAGTATTAGTTAGTTACTCAATATCATTTATTGAGTACTCTGTTTCTACTTATGTAGAATGATATAGGGATAAGAGTTGATAGGGCAAAGTAAAAGCCCTCCTAGCTTACTCAAACCGTCATTCATGTTGGGATTACCCATTCTGTGACATACTTTATGTCCTGAACATTTTTCAGTGAAAGTTACTATTTCAGTCAAACATTTATGAAGAAATTGGTTATTGGATGTTACTTGAAGACAGAATAATGCTTTGTAACCACTTTGATACACTATTTTTCCATTATCTCCAATGAGCACCTAATATTTAAAAAAGAAAGAAAAAAAAATCTTCCATAGGTCTATGTTTTAAGGAAGGAAGGAAAGGTCCAAGCCAGGAAATCACTTGATTTTATTACAGGAGTTAAGTGGGAGTATCTTAAGATTTGATTGTTTGGTCTGAGTTGAATTGTATATCTTTTGAGATGTATATATACCTAGCTTTTTAATCACTATAAATTTAATTATTCTGAAATACGCATAATGTTGAACTTTTCATGTGCCGTCTAATAGAAAAGCTCAGGGCCCAAGCAACAATGATAGAAATCAGAAAAAACTTGGAATTGCCCACCTAATCAAAGCCCAAGAAATAATTTTCGGTGCAAAATCAGTATATAACATAGTGTTAGCTAGCTCCAGACTCTAGTAGATAATTTTACCATCATAATGCCAAGTGAGAACATATAATCACAGAAAAATACTGCCTTCAGCATGTTCAGTGGCAACATTGAAGACACTCCTGAGAATATTGTTAGTGAAGATTTAACTTTTACATGAATACAGGCAGTCCCCAGCTTTCCCCAATAGGTTATGCTCTGAAAGTACATTTGTAAGTTAATTTTTTTTACACCTCAATGTTGTAAATGGTGTTTAGGCTCTAGGCCAGTCCACAGAAGTTAGTCCATAATGTATCTTGAATAATTTGGGGGATGGTATCCATAAAGTCCTTATATGGTTTTAACTAACTGAAATTATGGGCAAGATAGAAACAATTTGTAAAATGATTCAAAGGCAGATTTAGTGGGTGCTCCTGCCATGGGGCTTCGGTTCTGGTGGCTGTCAGACGCCGCTTCTGTGTCCCTCTCAGAGCCAGTTTTCCTTTGCGTTTCAAAGAAGACAATATTGTATACTATGATAGAATGCATAGTTGTCTCAAACCTTAATAAATAAGCATTTTAAAAGTGTTTACAGATTGTTTCTGTTATATCTACAGCTGCAGTTGGTAAAGTCTAAAAAGCCCAAGGACTTTATGAAGATCCAGTATGTCAGGAAAATGATAGGTTACCATTTTATAACTTTATTGCCATAAGAAAATGCATTCTGAAGCCTTGGTTTAGAACACAAGGTATTAGAAATATTGGTTCAGTCATTATTGGTCTCCTAGCAAGAGGTCACTGACCCTGGAAGACCAGGTAATATTATCTCGGAGAAGAATTCCCATACTCTCAGACTATGTGCAGATTAATCTTGTGCTAGGAATAGTCTTCCCTCCCTTTTCTCTCAGTCACACCTGAGCCAGCCTCTGGATCTGTTTGATCTTGTTGCACGATTCCATGGGATACACTTATACTTTCAAATTGATTAAGCCAAGAAGATGCATTGTACAGGTCCTTTTCTGATCAGCCTGTCTTCCTTCACCTGTCAACTGACAGGCCGCCTTCTTTGTTTGTGTTGGGGTTTGTTTTTTAACACCTGATACACATATCTGAAAGTGGCATCTTTAATATTCCTTCCCTTTCAGCTCAGATATGTTACTTAAAAAGTTGTCAGTCTGACCCCCAGTGTGGAATTCCTGAGCAAAATTGATCTTTGGAGGCATTCCTACTCAAATCCCACCTGATGGGTCTCTTCATAAAACTATTATTTTTTAAAGCCCCTTCTTAACCCATTATTTACAGCATGAGGTTAAAACCGGATGTGTGATTTTTCAGGTAAAGGCTCAAGACTCATTCCTTCCCTATCCTCAGATTAAGGTAGCTCAGTGCCTTCTTCTTTGGCCAACATAATACATGCCTACACACCAAGACCGTTAAAATAGCATGCTTGAAAAGATATATAATGTCTGTTTCACCTGTTAATTGTTTAAGCAAATGAAACCTTTCCAGTTTTGTGTGTTGTTGGGCTTTCATTTAGCACTTTACATTTTCATGCTGCTTATTGCTTTTATTCTACTGAAATAAATTAATTTCATCAAAATTCTCAACTAATTTTTTTAAAAAACTAAAAAATTATTTCTTATTTTGACTATGGAAATACAAAATTTCTATTTCAGGAGAATAAGAAATCTTTTTTGTTATTTTTAGCTATGAATAAACTTTCTGGTATTTTGAGACCTCCCATTTTTATAGGCCAGAGTCAATAAACAAGTAAACCTCACACATTTGGACTGACTTGAGCAGAAACCTAAGCTGAAATACTGAAAAGCCTATATTGTTTTATAACCTACAAGTAAGTATATGGAAGGTGAATGCATTTAGTGAACCTGACTTTTAACAAAGAATAATGTGTACATTAACGTGTACTGGTAAAGCCTTGTGGGAGGTTTCGCATTGCTCAGAAGCTGTTTGGAACGCCTCTTTAACAGTTGCCTTCAGAACTAATTTGAGCTGCTCAATAAAACCAGTGACTTTATTCATACCTTGTTTTGACCAAAGGTTGTATTCTTTATGTCATCTGATCTTCTGTTCATTCTACATCCTTGAATATTCTCTCACACCTTTTCACTTCCCTTCATGCTCACTGATGCTACCCTAATTAGCCATTATCTCTGAATAGCGCTGTAACTTCTGCCAGGCCTGCAGCCTTGCCCCGTTCCTAACACTGCAGCCAGAGTCTTCAGTGCACGGACCTAAGCCCGTCTCTCCATTGCTCGTACAGGCTTAGAAAGCTGTGTGTGACCAGAGTTCCTCCTGGTGCTCTGGCCTAATCTGACCTCCGCAAATGCCACTATGCCTTCCCGTAGCTCTGAGCTTGAGCCACTGGGGCCAGTCCTCTGTCCTGAGGGAAATAAACAAATGTCAAAGCTCTACATCCACTGCCTCACCCCACATACAAAAAGTAACTCAAAATGGATTAAAGACAATTTAAGAACAAAAATCTAGAAAATTCTTAGAAGAAAACAGTTTATCTTTGTGACCATGGGTTAGGCAGTACCTTAGATATGAGCTCAAAAGCACATACAACCAAAGGAAAGAGAGAAAACAGAACTTACTGTTTCAAAAGTCATTACTTAGAAAGTGAAAAGACAACACAGTGGGAGACATTATTTGCTGGTAGTATATCTGATAAGTGACTTCTATCCAGAATATCTAAAGAACTCATAGCTCAGTCTGATTTAAACATTGCAAAAGATTTGAATAGATACTTGTACAAAGATATCCAAGTGGCCAAAACCATATGAAGAGTTGCCTTTTAGTCATTAGGGACATGCACGTCAAAACCACAGTGAGATAGTACTTTACAGCCACTATAATGCCTAGATTAAAAAATAGTGAAGATGTGGAGAAACGAACTGGCACACTGTTGGTAGGAAAGTAAAATGGGGCAGCCACTTTAAAAAGCTGGTAGTTCCTCATAAAGTTAAACATAGAGTTACCGTATGACACAGCAATTCTAATCCCAGGTGGTATACAGGAGAGATTAAAACTCACACAAACTTGCATGTTAAGATTCTTGGCAGCATTGTTAATAGCCCCAAACTGGAAACTCAAATGCCCATCATCTGATGAATTGATAAACAATGTGTTATATCTGTGCAATAGAATATTATTTTGTAATAAAAATGAAGTTATGATACATGTTACAGCATGGATAAATCTTGAAAACATCCTAGGTGAGTGGAGCTAGCCACAAAAGGATAGATATTGTTTCATTCCATTTATATGAAATGTCCAGAATAGGAAACAGAGAGACAAAGTAGATTAGCAATTGCCAGGGCTGCAAGGAAGGGTGAATGGGCAGTGAATTCTCATGGGTATAAGGTTTCTTTTGGGGAGATGAAAATGTTCTAAAATTAGTGGCGATAGTTGCACGACAACTTTAGAATATATTAAAAAACCACACTTTAAGGGTGAATTTATGGTATGTGAATGATATTTGAATAAAGCTGTCATCAAAAAATTTATGCCATCTCCAGCTGGTTTTCTTTATACTGTAATCACATAATTAAACTGCTGAGAATACGCGAGTTTTTGCCCTGACTGGCGTGGCTGAGTTAGTTGGGCATCCTGCACAGCGAAAGATGGCTGGTTGGATTCCCTGTCAGGGCACATGCCTGGGTTGCAGTTTTGGTCCCCGGTCTGGGTGTGTGTGAGAGGCAGCTGATTGATGTTTTGCTCACATGTCAATGTATCTCCCTTTCTTTCTCCCTCCCTTCCCCTCTCTCTAAAAATAAATAAATAAAATATTTCAAAAAAAAAAGTAAAAAATATTGGTAGGACCTAAAGTTGCACCTGGAACACACTGAAACAAATACTGCTTGGAAACCAACATCTGGCACAATTCAAGGGTTCCAGCCTGTCCTTGATAGACTTGTTCCAAATGGAAGAGAGGAAGAGAGAGATTTTGAACAAAATCTATGGGAAATAACTTTAATAGGTCTC